AAATAAATATCTGACATAGTAATGGAGGGAGACCCGTGTATATATCTCCCTTGCTATCGGTATTTCAAATATATAACGGTCTTGCAGGAAATCTCCAGCGCTTACATGATCCCGGTCTTTTGATACTCCCGCACCAAACAACACCCGCAGCGCCGTTGCTGTGACAACCACCTTCGACGACGCCGCGACGCAGAACCGAAGTGAAGCGGTCCATGATGATTTGCGGATGACCTTCAAGCGTGCATTTTTCTTTCTGCTCTCCTCTTTTCTTTTCTGGATCTGTATTTATACGCCTCTCCTCCACCTTCGATCCTACATCGCCAGTTGTTTACCTCCTCACCGGGACGACATAAACATCGCCAGTCACCCAGCCTTGGAGCTCTCTCCCCTCGAACAACCACGAAGAGCGAGAGAGAGAGAGAAAGCCAAGTCGAGATCTTGTCCTGGTTTTTTATCTGCTTTTTCTTTTCTTTGTCGATTCGATTGAGAGACTGTTTTCGTTAGAGTGTGGTTGGTTTATTGTTGACGTCCGTCCTACTGTGATTTATCTAGATGCTAACCACAACAATAGACAATCCCTTAGCAACCACCATGACCCCGTCGATTTTTAGCGATTCACGCCCTCAATCCTCCAAGGTGTCGGCTCTTAGATCAATTCTCCCGTCTGGTGGACACAAAAGAAGCAAATCTGCCTTTGAAGCAGCCGTTCGAGGTGGCCCTGTTCACCATAATAACCCTTTGGCTGCCAGTTGTCTCCTCCCAGCAGACCACCCCCACTATCGTCCACAACAGCACCACCAGCAGCCTTACCCGGATCGTGAGGCAAATAGGAATGCCTCAAACTCCCGTGCTCCGCTGCAGGATAACTCAAATCCCCCCGGAAAGGCTCTCCATAAGAGGTCTAAGAGTACTTTGTCTCTCAAGTCTCTCTTAAAGGATAAAAACTCTAAGGACAAGGACCAGGCCCAGAAGGAGCCGGTAAAGCATGAACCAGCTCCTAGACGGAATAAGCCAAAGAGGACAAAGTCGTCTACTAGCCTGTCTTCTCTCTTCCGGAAGCACCAGCCTCGCCAAAAGGATAACGACTCCGGATCCAGAGATAAGGAAAATTTCTCTCCTACCGATATCTTCGATGATTCTGCTTCTACTGCTCCCAGCGTTTATACTGCACACTTGCCCCCGGATAATGGCTCTGGATCTCGGTACGTTCCAGAGAACAGGCGGACAGTGGCTGAGGAAATGTCACTCTACACTCCCCAGGGATATTCTCCGTCAAAGCAAAGAAACTTCCACGACCACCACAAACCAAGTCTTACCCGTGCGGACAAGGCAAGGCGTAAATCTGATTCTATTCCTTCAACTTCTGCTGGCGTTAGGGAAATGCTGGCAACGGGCCGCAAGCCAAGTCCCTTAGGCCCACACAACTCTAATCTTCCCGAGCGGAAGACCAGCTCCAGCAGCAACTCTCAAGCTTCAACTAAATCGAATGAGGCTCCAGCAAAACGAAGAGTCTCAAATGGCCGTCGAAGCTCCCGGGTTATGGCCGCAATTGCAGCCTTCAATGCAAAGGACCAACAAGCGGCTAGTTCTAAGCAAAATGACCCAAAAGATACTGCCATTGAAAATGCATTTGAACAGCTTCTGGTTAGTTTATTTGGTTTTGGATCCTTCCCACACGAACAAATTACTCATTGGTATTCTAGGAATCCCGAAACATCCCTCTCAACATGCGTGATAAAATGAGGGCTTTGGACACTAATATCAAAGCAGACTTCGTGAACAAGCATGAAATGACGCCAACTACCCCGTCTGGCACCAGCCAAAAGAAGTTTGGGTTTTTCAGCAGCGATAAAGAGGCCGACAAGGGCTCTGAGAATGGATCTCGCAAATCCGCGACCAAGACTCGGGCCCGGAGCCGTACTTTCACTAAGAATGATTCATCTAACTCGAAAAAGGGTAAAGGTGAAACCACACCTTCCAAGCGGCCGAAGTCTGTCGACTTTTCTAGACCATCCAGTTCCTCTTCCCGAGGCATATCTGCTTCTGTTCTGAGCTCTCTTCAGTATATCCGCACTCCAAAGGATGCAGACGAACCGTCGGATTTTGTCCACTATCTTAAGGAAGTTCAAAAGCCAGAAATAGTCGAAATTTCCAAACTACACAAACTTCGTATTTTGTTACGAAATGAAACTGTGGCCTGGGTCACTGAATTCATGTCCTGTGGAGGCATGGATGAGCTCATTCAACTGCTCTACAGAATCATCAAAGTAGAATGGAGGTGAGTTTTACACGGATGACTATTACTCATGCAGCGAACACTAATATTGTATCATAGGGAGGAGCATGAGGATACCCTCATGCACGAAGTTCTACTCTGTCTCAAGGCACTGTGCACAACTACTACTGCTCTCAACCATATTCGCTCCATAGAGAGCCACCTTTTCCCTACATTACTAAACATGCTTTTCGATGATGAAAAGAAAGGTCCTAGCGAATTCAGCACTCGTGCGATAATCATCAGTTTGCTATTCACTCTCTTATCAAATGCTAGTCCTGGAGAACGCATGTCTCGCGCCCATACTATACTTTCTTATATGCGCGATCCGGCACCACCAGAGACAGCTCAACCACTGTCGTTCATTGCAGATATCTATCAGCCTCGACCATATCGAGTCTGGTGCAAAGAAGTGACCAACGTTACTAAAGAAGTTTTTTGGATGTTCCTACATCACTACAACGTTGTTCCGGTCACTACATCAGAGGATGGCTCCGTTGACCCATCTCAGCCCTACTCGGAACGCCACTTCCCTCCACCACACCCCCCTGTCCCTGCAGCCCCGTATATCGGAGGTGTCGAATGGGAAGCAACAAGCTACCTTGCGATCCATCTAGATCTTATGAATGGGATCATTGCATCTATGCCAACGACTGAGGAGCGCAACAAGCTCAGAACTGACCTCAAAGCATCGGGCTTCGAAAAGGTCATGGGCAGAAGCCTCCGCACATGCAAGGAGCAGTTCTATCCCGCTCTTCATGCTGGCTTGAAGGTTTGGGTTGCTGCGGCAGCAGAAGATGGCTGGGACTATCAGTTTGTCCGTGAAGGCCCTCCAAGGGATGCACCTCCAAGCAGCCCCATCAAGACAGCTGGTAACCAGAGCCCGAAAAAGAGGCCAGGGATTGTGAGCGAAGCTCCCCCACGCCTAGACTTGAACGTTGGTGTTGCAAGTTCCGATCAGAGAAAGTCAAGCGGTGATTGGCTTTGACGTCCTATCTTTAATTTTCTCCTATTTCCCTCCCCCCTTACTTTTTCCTTGTTGTTCAGGCACATTATCTCCTCGGAACGCTACACAACGGCGTTCTCTCCTAACCCCAAGTATATTTTGCAACTACATATTGTGCCCTCCTTCCTGTGCTAGCCATTTCAGGGCTATGCTTGACCTACATGGACAACATTTCGATGTGGTATTTTGGACGAGCCCATCAAAACAAACATCAGATGGGATATGATTAACGACCACCAATCCTTCCCGCCTTCATTGGAACGACTTTATGACCCTTTTTTCTATTTCTTTTCCTCTTGATACTGTTTTGGTATATGTTCTGTGGCTCTGGAGTTATCTTTTCCTTGCAAGATTGGACTGCACCTCGCATAGTGCTTGTTGTTTAGCATTTCTGCCCATAGCCTTTATATTACTCTCCAGATTATTATTCTATTATTATTAATGAATAAAATCGAAGAACCTATCTAATTACCTTTTGCTCACTGCGCCATCGCAGCTGAAGCCACGTGATAAGGTATCCGTTACGGTCAACAGGGCTCCTTTAGGCACCCGATTCGTTGCAATCCTCTTCCAAGAGGGCACACAATGCTATATGACCTTCTCATATTTGTGTCGATAGGCCAGCGAGTAGGCAGGGTACATGGCCCAGCTACAATGTGTGCCAAGTTCGAAGAACATTTGCTGTATCAGTATGATGAGGAGACCCTTGTCCACCATATTCATGGATCCAAAATATCCCCAGGGTCATCTAGCCTGTTCTTCCTCTCACACAATCTGGTCGCTAAACGGTACTCTCGCGGCGAGGAGAGTGGTCCCCTTATAGCAATAAGGCGAGCAAAACAATTGGGAATCCCAGTACCGAGTATTCAACGAGTTGTCGAAAGTCATGACCGCCATAATATCTATGTCATATCGGACAGAATCAGGGGCCGCACCCTAGAAGACGCTTGGATCTCCTTAAGCTGGCTCAGGTCATTGCTGCTCGCCATACAATTACGGCGGGTTGTTCGGAAGATGCGAAGCTTGACCTCGAAGACTGCTGGATCCCTTTCAGACGGAAAATGCAGGTCTATGTGGTTGGGTACCTACTATGGCCTCCCACCTCACGCGAGCTCCGAAACCATCACGGCATTTGTACGATATTGGTATAACGTATCTCCTTCTCCTTCACGGAAACGCAGAGCGGCAGCATACAGAGCGCTGTCGTTGTCAGCATCGACCAACACGGCGACATCCTTCGAACCAGACCGGCAATATCCCCTAACCTTCTCGCACCAAGACCTCGCACCCAGAAATATCATTGTCGATGAAAAATTTCGGCTTTGGCTTCTTGACTGGGACCAATCCGGTTGGTATCCTATATATTTTGAGTACGTGTGTATGCAGAATTTCAGCATTCCTTTTAGCTGGGGGCTGCTAGCCAAATTCCGTTGGTGGATGTTCTGTTGGGTCTCAGTTGGGATATACTCCAAGGAGCAAGAAATTTTTCATCAAGCCTTGATGAACTTTACTCGGTTCGCGGTAGACCGAGATGGTATCCCAGTGCAAGGGAAGGCAATGCGTCTTCCAAAGCAGCCTAGATAACGAATGGGCAACGCGGTAGGAGGGGGGCTGCTTCACGCCCGACTGCTAATTTAGAGCTTAGAGAATCATCATATTCAATACGGCATGAATAGATAGATGGTTCGGAAAACGAAAATAGAGACATCACGATAAAACTCATAGCGACTGTTCATACCCAGTCTTCATTATCATTTGGAAAATTTTGATATCCGCCACCGCATCCGTTGCTGTTGTCTTGATAATCTTATTTTGATTCACCACAGCTTCGTATAATTCCTTCATCTCCAGAGTGAACGGATCCTCGTACGTCTTTCGAACGGTGGACTCTATGTATTCACCGTTGGGACCTAGTTGACGAACAACCATGGTTGTTGGCAGTCCCTTGACATATGGGGTATCATAGCAGATCTTCACGGTCTTTGTCCTCCCAAACACTTCGATACTCGCATCGAACCGTGGTATCTCATCCCATCCCGACTCATAGGAGACAGCAAAACCTGGATATTTGAACAGAGCACTACAATTTGTTAGGTATCTAGCTGTATTAAGGGGCTCTCGATTTTCTCTGGATATGATTAGCTGAAGAACAATGGCATAGCTTACCTCCAGAACTGTGGACCTGTATCTGAACAAATAGAAGCACCAAGCACCCTGTTAGGAACACCTAAACACTCTCTCATGGCACTCAGGTCGTGAGAAGCCAGCCCCGACAAGTGTTTCCACATGTTTGCAGTGGTTGGGTTAACCGGAATACCAAGCTCAACGGATAACGCCTGTTCCAGGGCCTGGCTTGTCATTGTGGCAAGCTCTACTGCATCGTTTTCATTGTGATCCGAGAACTTCTTAGGAAAAGTGCCTGACTGTGCAATAAAACACGAGTTGGGGCCGAGGATATCCCTGACTGTTGCATGAGTGACGCCGCCAATGCCACCTATTTCGTTGATGGCGTCGACAAAGGCCCCTGCATACCGCCTCATATACCCAACCATCACCCTACCAGACGAAAGCTTTTCAGCCTCCAAGACCGCTTCCGCGTCCTTTAACGATAGAGCCATAGGCTTCTCGCAAAAGACAAACTTGTTGTATTTCAGGGCGAGCAAGGTATGCGGAACATGGTACGCGTCATTACTCGCAACAAGAACGACCTCCACTTCCTGAGACTGGCATAACTCTTCCGCATTCTTGGTGGTCTGAAGGTGCGGGTTGGAGATTTTGCTCTTGCAGTGCTCCAGGGCCATAGCAGAAATATCACACAGGTAAGTGACGATGAATATGTCCGAGAGGTGTTGGAAATTTGGTATATGTATCACCTGTCACACCTCTCCACAACTACGAAATGAATATAAATAGAATGGGGTGGTCAGTAAAGTGCTGAATATATTGGAGGAACATGGACGTTCCACGACATTGATTGTGACGTACCCAATGATCCCGACCTTTACTTTGCGAAAGGCCATCTTTAAACAAATGTGTGGTAGTTTCAATTCTGGATTGAGAGAGTGATACGGGTTATTTTGAGGATGGAAGGGGGGTTTGCTGGCCAGCTTGTTAGCAGAAGGAGATGATCGCGTCCCTGAGCTGAGATGAAGCTGGAGCTGAAAGTTGCGGCTGTAATACCTGTGACCCCGCATAAATAAACCAAATAATAGGGTTGCTTACCTTAAAATTGTTCCGAAGCAAAGAAATGTTAAATCGGCTTTATGCACACTGGAAGAGTGATCTCAAGTCAATAGGCTGCCTGTCGATTTGATAAAGGCGTGTTATGATGATGACGTTGTTATAAGATGTTGGTGGTGGTCTATATTTAGTGCTGCTGTCCGCATCGCCGGACCAGGGGTCTACCAACCGCCAGTGGTAAGTAAAGGAGAATAATATACATTCTATATCCTTATTATACACAGTGTTGCCATCATAGATGAAGCTTTAGATATGTTGGATCACCTCTCTAGAACCATTGGAGGAGAGATGCGATTCTATGGAGACAGTAAAATAGGGAAAATGCCGCTAATAACACAGACATAAAAAGAAACCGACATGATATTCGTACAAAATTCCAGGACCAATTATTGGCTTCCGGTCTTCTCTACAGAGGAAGTAGATTCGCTTCGAAGCGCAGGTCGACGTCCTGACAATACTGAATCATCAAGAAGCCCCTTGAGATAATCTCGGAACTATTATTCACAATTAGCCGTTAAAATTCTCATTTTCGCCAATTTATGGAGATTTATCCTTACTCCTTGGAATGGATTGGGTCCAGCATCCTTCATTTCCATAAAGAGGACCGAATATACCAACACGACTAGAGGGTGTATATGTTAGCTTCCCTTGTACCATAAAAACAATACAGAAAGCCAATGAATCCAGGACAATTTCAAAAACTTACATCCAATTAACCCCCATTGAACCAACTTTGTCCATTTTGTCCACGTTGGTCTTGCCCATTTTTGTTTCGACCGACGCCTGTATTTACGCTCTAGTCTGAACTGTTGTTTTGGTGATAGTTTGCTCATATCCGGTGGCCATTTCCTCTTGGCCTTGTATGGGTTGACATATTCTTCCCCAGACGGCTCGGTAGAGGGGGAAGAAGCCGCATTGCGACTAGAGGAGGTGAAGGAGCGGCATACTACCCCTGCTGTAGGCTGTCTTAGGTTCGAGAGATCGCGGAAGGACGATAAAGAGGACAATTGTTGTGTGGCAGATGCATGGTGGAGAGCCCGCGACCTCGATAGCACAGTGGAAACGTTGCGGCCGAAGGATAAGAGGGGTGATCCTGCCTGATACTCTGTTAGTCTGATATATTGGAAAGACTAGAGAGTGTGATAGCTACCGTTTCAATATTTATGCGCGAAGCTATAGTGAGCCGGCTATGCGCACATCGCAACCCCTTACCCGATACCAACAATCTGGGAGCAAATGACATCTTGCGTAGCCCTTGCGGTCTATAACAAACCTATATCTTCCTCTCGCGACGCCGTAGAATCTTCACATGGACTTTTTCTCTCCAAAAAAGCATCAAAGCCAACAGACAAGCTTCACGTGACGGAAACTCGGTCCATTACGTAATCGCGGAAAGGGTAAATATATGTTCCGTGTGCCTCGGCAACTTTTTGCGAACCTTAAAGATCGTCCCTTAATCAGATGTTCGGCGGACGAAAAGCAGCAGCATATAAAGCGCAACACCCGAGATATCCAACCCCTTCTGCTCCTTTCTTCTCCTCATCTTTCTTGCATATAGCTGCCTCTAGAGACTCTCTTTACACCGTCCTGTCTGCATACACCTTCACTTCATCCATCATGTCTGCCAGTGAGTGCTATCCCAAGCTACGTCATAGAGCGTACCATCTACTAACATGTGATATCTTCCTCCAGCATACCAGCGTCTCGCTCAGATCTCTAAGCAAGTGACCCCAGGCAAGAGCGGAAGCTCTGCTATTCTCGAGAAAAACCCAGATGATATTGTTGTAACATGTGCTCTTCGAACGGCCATAACGAAGGGCGGCAAGGGCGGCTTCAAGGACACCGCTGCTGCTGACCTCCTGGTCGGTGCCTTCAAGGCTCTGATCGAGAGATCTAAGATCGACCCCTCGCTCGTTGAGGATATTGCTGTTGGATCAGTTCTACCTCCCGGTGGTGGTGCCACTGAGTTCCGTGCTGCTGCTTTGGCCGCTGGTTTCCCCGAGACTTCTGCCGTCAAGGCTTTGAACAGACAGTGCTCCAGTGGTCTGCAGGCTATCGTCGATGTTGCCAATGCCATAAAGGCCGGTGTCATCGATGTTGGCATCGGAGCTGGTGTTGAGAGCATGTCTTCTCAATACGGGTATGTTATGCCCCAGCTACTTTGCTATTTGTATGATCACATACTAATCAAGTATTTAGTCCCGGAGCCGTCACTGAGTTCTCTGAGCTCCTCGAGAACCATATGGAGGCTGCTAACTGCAAGGTTCCCATGGGAATTCTCTCCGAAGACATGGCCAAGGACCTCAAGATCTCCCGCAAGGATCAGGATGTCTTCGCTGCCTCCTCCTACCAGAAGGCTATCAAGGCTCAGGAAGCCGGCCTTTTCAACGAGGAGATTGCCCCTCTCACCGTCAAGTTTGTTGACCCCAAGACTCAGGAAGAGAAGACCATCACAGTCAACCGCGATGATGGTGTCCGACCTGGCATCACCCCTGAGTCCCTCTCCAAGATCCGACCGGCCTTCGCCGCTGATGGCTCCATCCATGCTGGAAACTCCTCTCAGATCTCTGATGGTGCTGCCGCTGTCCTCCTTATGAAGCGTTCTACTGCTGAGAAGCTCGGACAGAAGATCATTGGCAAGTACGTTACTGCCAGCGTTGTCGGTGTCAAGCCTCTTCTCATGGGCCAGGGACCATGGAAGGCCATTCCTGTTGCATTGGAGAAGGCCGGTATTTCCAAGGGAGACGTCGACATTTATGAAATCAATGAGGCGTTTGCCTCCCAGGCTCTCTGGTGCACCAAGGAGCTTGGTCTTCCCTTCGAAAAAGTTAACCCTAAGGGTGGTGCTATTGCCTTTGGCCATCCTCTTGGATGCACTGGCTCTCGCCAGGTCAGCACATTGTTGACTGAGCTGAAGCGAACGAACAAGAAGATTGGCGTTACTAGTATGTGTATTGGAACTGGAATGGGCATGGCCGCTGTCTGGGTTGCCGAGTAGATGTTGAAACTCCCTACAGCGAGCATTTAGATGGTTATATGTTTCTTCTTTTCTTTTTTGCCCCTATATAATGACATGTTGTGAGGATAAAAGCGACTTGTCCCGTGAGATGATTTAACTGTATTTTATATCAATTATATAGCACTACCTTTCCTTGTTTTCTCAAATATATCAAGTATATCACGTTGAATCTCACCGTCTATACAGAATAAGTGTAGGAAGTTTAGCTGCTTCTGTGAGTCTTGAAGGCTTCAAAAACGGTTGACCCATTCAACACGTCAGCCTTTACCTTATCATCCGCAGCAACGAGCTTGGGCATTAGTTCCAAGACATCGTGAATCAATCCATTTGGTATCCTTACGACGCCTTCAAGAGGGTCACAGAATAGTACATCACCCTGCAAGCCCATCAATTAACGACTCTTGAAATTGAATAAACAACCAGAATTAAGACCACTTACTGGACAAACGGTTACTCCATCAATGGAAATTGGCACGTTCCGCATCGCAGCTTTAGCCTCTGCGCCGGTTCCCACTGTCGAAGTGCCCTTGGCCCATACCTATAAGCCCACACTTAATATCCAACCGTATGCCGATTATGTAGCACAAATCTGAAGCAATGATGGTACTCACTGGAAATCCAAGGCTTCGTAGCTCAGCTAGATCTCTCACCCGACCATTGACTACGGCCCCCTTTGCACCTCTCACTTTCATCCGTGAGGCCATAATTCCACCTAGAATAGCACATTTCTGACCCCTTGGCTGATCAAGCAACACAATGGTATTTGCATTCGTATGATCTACCCAATGTGTTTCGGCCTTAAACCCATGTTTTTCATCTTGGGACTCGGTAGGTAACGGGTCATCCTTGGGTATAAACTTAACTGTGGATGCATAACCGATTATCTTTGGCAGATTCTCAACATCTCTAGACGGTGAAAACGGCACTTTTCATTTGAATGTTAGGCTAGGCATATTCCAAAGGGATACGTATCTGTCATCATGAAGTTACGACATACCGATGTCAGCTATGAATCCGGCATATTTGGTTGCACCTTTCGGGACATCCTCTAGCTTCAACAGAGCATCTGATATCTGACGCTGCGTATTAGTAGCACCCACGAAAAAATAGAATGAGAATTGCCCATACGTCACACGCAGAATACTCCTCCAGAGCTGCGAATATCTCCTCATCTGTTCCCGCCATGGGGGTTATTCAATGTTAGTAGCAATTTATCATGTATGGTCACGTCAGATATGCTAACACCGATGATGGCATCTCGACTGCGAGACGGAACCTCAAGGACCGTCAGGCCATTATTAATCCAGCCTTAATAGTTATCCACTTCATGCAGGTGGTGAGTTAGTGATTCGGAACTTTGCCGGCATCAACAATTCCTCCTCTATGAAATATCATCAAGCCAGCCACCTTGGCAGCTCGTATGGTTAACCACATGATCCAAAGTCGGCCTACAGGTATTGCTGAAGCATAGGGCCTAGAACTGCGTATGTTATTGATAAGCAAGCGTCTATCATAATCCTGTTTCTCGTATGGCTCGTGACG